AATAATAATAAAATCGGTAGTCAAAGACTGTGAAGACTGTTTTGCTCTATTAAATGATGATAAAATTATAGTTACTGCTAGAACTAGGTAGACGCCCAGCCTGTTGAAGAAAGAGGATGATGAACGAAAATAAGTGTGTGTGTGTGTGTTTTCTGATAGCAAAGCCACATTGGGCTATCTGCTGTGTCCACCGCGGAGAATCTAACCCCTGATTCTAGCGTTGTAAATATGAAGACTTACCGCTGTCCCACCGGGGGACACGAAAATAAGAAATAATTTGCAAGTATCAGTAAGAACTCCGTTCAGCTTTTTTCTCTCTAAACGAGTGTAATAACTCTCATCCGTTAGAGTTCACAAAATGTTCCTAACAAAAGCCTTTAACTTCTCAATTATGTAATGTCTAAAAATATGTAGACCTGTGTGAAGTAACTTTGCATCATATTTCAACCCCCGTTGGTGCGCACAAAATGTGTAAAAAAATTATTATAAAAACGTTTTTCTCTTAAAGTTTTGGTGATGTCGATGAAAACGACGATGTTTTGATTTAAAACTTTTATTTTTTATTGCAAGCAAATAAAAACCCACATACAGTAACAACACACACGTAGCATCATTTCTTTAAAAAGAAGCAGGATTTATGTTTAGAAAAATGTAACGAACTAATTCTAAAAATAGAAGCAGCGATAATCTTATGCGCATTTTAAAAACACATTATAACTTACACATAAGGTAAATCTGATAAACAAATTTTTGTGAAGGTTCTCGTTGTACTCTCTTATTGGCCTTTGCTATAAATGTCTTCAATGTTACTTTTTCATCAACCCTAAATGTTATTTGCATCTATACTTGTGACTTTAACCTTAGAATTACCAATGGATCCCATCTGTTTTTTTAAACATTTCTCTAGCCTCTGTATGCGTCCAATTGCTTTGTTAGTTACAGGATACCAAATAAAATATGAGTTAAACGAAAATACCATTAGTATTGAATCTAACCTCAATAGTTAATGCTGGGTTTTTTCATATGTTTGTTTGGTCAGTTCTGTACAGTAAGTGTTATGATAAACAAAAACATAAAATTACTCAATATGATAGATATACAGTCTACAGTTATACGGTATACAGATAAATCGGTAGTTTGAGGATTAAATAAAGTAATTTACCAAACTTAACGTTGTGAATAACTGCCAAAATTATTTTAAAGTGATAATATAAACCATCAGTTTCACTAAACCTATTCTTTCCGTTTGTGTAGCTTGTGTAATATTTACAAAGATTGAGGAGAGACAATTTGTTTCTATAATGTAAAAACATCATCAAACACAGCTGGTACAAGTATGAAGACTATTTATTTCTATAGTGTTTCCTTGGTAACATCAACAATAAATATACTGTTTATCGCTATAAAATGTACGTTGAACCGAGCTATGAAGACAGAATTTATTTCTATAGCGTTTCCTTGGTAATATCAACAATAACTTTGCACACATTTTTTTTTTTTTTGCTGTAGAATGTACGTTGAAACGTGCTGTCAAGACAATATTTATTTCTATAGCGTTTCCTTGGTAACATCAACAATAACTTTGCACACACATTTTTTTGCTATAGAATGTACGTTGAAACGTGCTGTGAAGACAGTATTTATTTGTATAGCCTTTACGCGGAAATATAACAATAGCTGTGCGTACACAATGTTTACTGCTATGCCACGTATCTTGAAACATATTTGTGAGGATTGTGATTATTTGCACAGCGTTTCTGTGGAAACATGACAATAGCTGACCTTATAAATTGTACGATGAAGCATAGCTGTGAGGACTCTTTGATTTATTCTATAAAGTTGTCGTGGACATATCAACAGTAGCTATGTTAATAACGTGCTTACCGTTATAACTAATACATTGAAACATGGCTGTGGAGAACTTGTTTCTGAAACATTTTGTGGCAATATTTATAAATGGAAGAACTTTTACATGAAGGCATTTAACACCTCTTTTCTACCCTACAACACAACTTGCTCTGATACATACAATAATACGCTAATTTACTTTA